AGGTCCTGGAGAGTACAGAAAGGCCTTGTGGTTACCCAAATTCAATCCAATGGCTCTTTACATCTCAATCATCCAAGTTATTCAATTCTTAGAAACCCAGCATAACCCCATAGAAACCAAGATGTTGGAAAGGGGAAGTAGTAACTCCAAGTCATAATTACTGGAATGATTGAGGAGAGGGCAAGGAAAACTCCAAAACAGGTTGTCTCTGCAGCAAGACAAAAATCAATTTATAAGCATTTCACTAAAAATTTAGCAGTGGAAAAGCTAAAATGCTCTAGTGAGGTTTTTTTCTACCATTTGGGTTTTCAGATCTTAATGAAAATGGGCTAGATAAGCAATACTACTTTGCATTCCTATTTGACCCTCAGCACTCTTGGCTAATATGATGGTTAATTCTTGACAGGATCTACAACTACCTAAGAGATAAGTCTCTGGCCATACTTGTGAAGGTTTGTCTAGATTAGGTTAATGAGGTGGGAAGCCCCACCCTGAATGTGGACTGTTATTCCATGGGCTGGAGTCCTGTCCTACATACAAAGGAGAAATCATGGGCATTCATATCTCTCTCTCTCTCCCTCTCTCCCTCTCTCTCTCTCTCTCTCTCTCTCTCTCTCTCTCTCTCTCTTCTTCCTGACTGTGATGCAGAGCATGGACATTCATCTCTCTCTGCTTCCTGACCAAAGATGCAGTGACATCTCATTCTCTTGCTGTGATGGACTATACCATGTGTCCAAATAAACTTTTCCTTCCTCAAGCTACTTCTTGTTATGACAACAAGCAAAGTAACTAACAGAAAATATCACTAATCTTTGAAGGGATTACTTACAATCCCTAAGGATTATTTCACAGATTACTAAAAAGCATGCCACCAAATGTTACACAAATTACAAGATTTATTAACTCGACCTACCTGGTACTTACATCAAAGAAGTAATTTAACAAATACCACCAAGGTTTATTAAATGGAATATGGAGAAAGGGGGACAGAGACTCCAAACAGCAGGAAGAAAATGGCAAGGCAGAGGCTAAAGACCAGTGTGAACCTTGCAGGTGCCTTAACTGGCTGTCCTCTCACTTGTCACTATTCTCTCCCAACACCAGACTCTTCCTGGTCAAGCCAGGTCACACTGCAGAGGAGAACGGAACCACCTGAAGTCAAAGGCTCTGAAATGATAATCCAAAGCAGTAGAAACTAAGGGGACTAAAGGGGCAGAATCTTAGACTGAACTGAAGGTCAAATCTTGTAATCTAATTTCAGCCTTCTCATGCGGTTCATTTTGATGCTGATTAGAAATTGTGTGCCAAAGAAAGAGCTAATTTATTTTGTAGTCATTAGGATAAATCACAAACCAGAGAGAGACAGAGACACCAGGAGAAGGAAAGATTAATTAGCTTGAAATTCCTCATTGAAGCAAGATGAAATGATAAGAGTGACATTTATTGGGTACTTATTGGTGCACAATCATTAGGCACTTTATATTATATATAAGACTATGACATGGGTACTATCATTATCCTCGTTTTATAGATGAAGAAAAGAACAGAAATTAAAGAAAGAAAAAAATCTTGCTTAAGGTCATACAACTATTTGAAGCCGGAGCTGGGGTAGGAGGTCTAACTAAAGAGCCTATACTTTTATCCAACATAGTTATAAATATACATGCAATTTTTATTAAACCAGACTTTTTTGAAATTAATATGCATTCACAATTAAAAGGATCCAGAAAACATAAAACAAGTGGTTAAACACAACAAGTTAAATGTATATGATCTGGTACCAGACCCCTAAGTGTCTGCTATAATCACAGCTGAATAGCTGTATGGTAAATAAAGTTACTCAGTGTCTTGGTATGTCTGTGAAGCTAACGTTTTAATCGAATCTCTCAAAACACTGCAAATGAAATACGTTACACTCTTAGAGTTATGAAAATACGTTATTTTTCAGGCTATTCACTGTCCTATTTCTGCTCAGTTTCCTCCCTTCCTCCCCCATTTCCTCTCCGCCTCACATCCTTTAAAGCCAGTTCAGTTCCTCTTTCTCAAGAATACCTACATGCACACTTTACCCAAGAGAATGCTAGCATTTGTCTGTGTGCAACAGCTATAGGATGGTACAAACTTTACAAAAAAGAGCCAAGAAGTGGGAAAGCATTCTAATGTATATTTAGTTTTAGGTCTGTGCAACTGCAGAAGTAATCGAAAGATTCTTGTTTTCCAATTTCACATTTGGAATCTGCTTTAACAACTGGCATACCCCAAAAGTCTTCCCTTGTTTAGCTTTTTTTTTTTTTCAAAATAGCTTTTCCCCAAATTTTCCGTAAGTATGTCATTTCTTAAAATACAAAACAACAAACCCCCAACAGGTTGTTAGACAACAACTCTATCATATTTTAGTAAGATGATTATCATATCCTGAATTATGTATTGAGCCCAATGTAAACGTTTTACAAATGAACATGTACAACTTCTGCACTGGGTGTGAACGTGCACATGTGATAGCAGCGGTGGGAGGAATTCGGCAGGGTAAGTTCCAGGCCTGTCTGTGCTAAATGATGAGACTCTGGCTGCTGTGTAAACCAGGGCTCCATGCTGAAACACTCTTCTGTTCTCCCAGTCCTGGCAGCCCCTTCCTGGAGCTGACAAACACAGCTCATCCTCTCCTAACACCCATATAATTTTTTTTTTTTTTTTTACCTGAACCAAGGTGTTATGGACAACAACATAGTGCTGAAGTTAAAAGAATTCTAACCTGAACTGGGATGCTCATACTTATTAACTCTGAGACCTAGAACAGTTAAACTCTAATTTAACGTTTCACTTATCTATCTGATGGGAAGACATTATTACGTATAAGGCCTTCATGTACTTTAAATAATTATATAAACACTGAGCAGAGGCTCCAATGCCAGTAAGTGCCCTATAAATGACCACCATGGGAGATACGCTGTAATGGTAAAGGAAGTTCAGATGATATCCTTTTATTAAAATGATGGAACCCTGTGAAACTATATTAAAGATGAATTAAAACTAAATCCTGAGGCCGCATGTACCCTGGCGGCAGAGAGCATGCTCAGAATGTGTCAGACAGTTGGTTCACTCTCTAATACACACACATTTTTACACACACACACACACACACACACCTAAAAGTTCTAGAAGTATATAGGAAATTGTCTACTTTGTAATAAGAGATACAATAACTACAGGATAAAATGACAAAGATAAAGAAAATCTTGAAAGCTTCTAATTTTGAGTAATGGGTACAAGCTATTCTATTTTTGTAAAAAACACATTTCTTTTTTAAGTACAAATCTAATCCCCTGAACATACATATTTCTTCATATTCAGGAGAAATCAGGATTTGAGCCTTGAGATGTGCTGAGCAATAGTAACTGGGTAATCAATACAGTATTAGTCAAGTTTTCACTAACTATTCTACCTTTCATTATAGAGGTGAACAAAGGGGATACTTAAATGCACTCAATGTTTAAAACTATACACATTTTTAGCTGCATATCCACATTACATTAAACGGCAGCAACATGCATTTTTTTCTGCATCCTTAAAAAAAAAAAAAAAAAAAAAAAAGGAAATATTTTCACTTTGCTTGCTTACTTCCGAGCAATCACAGGAATAGTCCCTAACCTAAAGGGTAACACATCAGTTTCTACCGTTGATAACTGAATTTTGCTGGCCTCCCATAAATTCGTATACAAGCTGTAGGCAATGTTTCTGGATAGCTTTTAGGTTTTTACCAGTGATTAGCAATATAGCAAACCTTCAGAGGGAACTTAGCAATTTATCAGAGGCTTAAGCAGCTTGGCCTCCAGCCTGTGCTACCTAAATTAATAACACAAAATTCCAAGTGAGAACTTGCCTCCCCTGAGTAAGCAATGAACAGTCGTGAAACGGACCAGAAAGGCATGCAGCAGAGCAGTAATTCCTGTGCTAACTTCAATTCCTACTATGAAGTAGCTGGCTGTATCCAAAAATGTTCCTATTTATTACGAGTCCAATTTTCAAATGAACATACTGGCACCAGAAATCGCGGAACAACACAGCCCATGGTCCATACATGCAAACAGCGTCTAGCTGCAGAATGAAAGCCACCTGCACTTGCAGCTTCAGTTTACCCAGCCACTGTGCACTTGCAGGCGTCTTTTCTCCCTTCCTTAAATATGCAATGAACTTTACTGTGGCTACCGAGGTTCCTTCTCTAGCTGTGCTTCCTAGACACCCTGGAAGTGCATAATGCGGATCAGAAGTCAACGCTTCACATTTCCCAACTTTGGCTGTTAATACGCCAGCCGTGGACGCCAAGCATCCGCCCACTGTCCTCTCGTGACTCGGGCTACTTTGACGCACCGGGATGCGGTTCACCTGACACTCTGCACCAACGCTGACCAAGAAGAGGAAAAAAATAAATAAATCAACTAAGCCAAAATAAAATGGGTCTCCAAGGCAACGCGCACCCAGGTGCCCATGAGGAAAGCCGGGGACCGCGTCGCCCCCCAGCAATAGGCGGCGGCC